GCTTTTATTATTCCTAATTAAGAGTGAGGGACAATAGCACAACTCTAACTTATTTAAATAATGTTCTACATTTTGGGGAAGAGAGAGAGAAAGAAAATGGTGTTGTTTTCTGTTGATTTTCCCCCCCTTCAACATCAGTGATTCTACGGCTTTTAAATGTGAAGTGGACTGTTTATCTGAAAGTGTGCTGGCAGACTGCCACCATATTTCTAAGATTAAAGAAAGGATTGAAAACAATCAGCTTTCCGAGGAACTGAAACCAGGACAATATGTTTCTGATTAATTTACAAATATATGTGTATATTTAAGGCTAAACTACAGAACCAGAAAATTCCTACTAGTTAGTCTATCACAGGCATTCTTACACTTTATTAGAACAGACATCATATTGAAATAATAAGCATGGGAGGCCTTCATTTCTTCTTTGATCTATATTACTAAATGTCTGATTGGCTCAGATTTAAAATAAACTTTGGTATGCTTGCACTTGAAAACTGGAAAAAGACCACAAGTAATAATTTGTTGTCTGTTTCCATATTCTTTAACTAAAAGTTATAGTTTAGTCTGTACACTGCTGGAGATGTTACTCCAGTCACACTTGCAGTGGCTAAACTTTCTGGTAGGAATACACCCTCTAGTATGGTTGCAATGATGATAGATCACTCCATCATCATGGAACTAGCTGAGATGGATTAAAGGTACAGGTCACAGCTTTACCTGCTTTGCAAATCTCTTGCAGGTCAGTGTCATTACATACTTAAAACCACAGATATGTACTGAAGAAGAGTACCACAGAGCTCCTTTTGCTCTGAACATCTAAGGGTTGTGATTTCATTACTCAAACCCTGCCAAATACATTGCAAATGTGCATGCAAGATCTTAAGCTGTTTAATGATGGCTTTTCAGTGTTGTCCTGTGTGATTTAAAGGTATTTTTTTGCTGTGTAAACGGGATCAGTTTTCTTCACATAAATTAAAAGATAATAAACAGTTGTCTTTATGCCCATAGTTGGATATAGCATAGTTGGATTTGCTTTTAGACTTGGGAGTTTATGTATATATAGGTAACAATTTTACTCAGACTGAGGTACAGGTTATAGAATTTCATATAAGATTTATTTTCTTATTTAGAGAGTTAAATTCAGAGGAAGGAACATAGATGGGAGTTTCTAATCAGGAGGTGAAAGAATCTAAATTATTCACCCTTAAAAAGCATAAAGAGTACAAAATGATAGGGACTGTTTCAAAAGGCAGTACTAAAGAATACACTGACATCCTTTAACTTTTCTCAACCTACTAAAAGCATTACTTAATTGTCTATTTAAATGTGAATCTCAGTAACAAATGAGTTAACACTCATAAAAAAAAGATAGAGCTTTGAAAATCTCACCACTTCTAAATATGGTCAAACAGCAGTGCCACAAAACACCTCGTCCTCTATTTACAGATGATAAAGCCGTGCTTCAGACACAAGACTGAGCTCCAAAATGGGTGCACTTCTCATTCTATGTGATGACTGCAACTCATTTAGGAAGGAGAGAAACCACTTACATTTCAGAAGTTTCGACATTCGACAGCAATGGAAAGTACTATGAGCACATACCCTGACAGACTACTCATTGGTAGGGTCCTATTTAAATCATGGTCCTAGTTACTTCAGATGTCAGGCATCTCATCACATCAAAATCTTCTCAATCTCTTGAATGTGTGTAATCCTACCCTGAACAGTGAAGGAGAAGGGGGACCTTCACATACAGAAACGCAGAACCAAGAGTGCTTTTGGAAAAGATTGAGTGTATCCCCTGAACCAAATGCTTTTCAAACTTTAATTAAAGCTTCCCAGTGTGATCTAGGTTTCTTAGAATAAATAACCTTCTCCGTTATGTGCATAAATGCTGCCAGACACATTGAAATGGTTCTGAAGCACTGATGCCTACATTCTAAGCAGAAAGGTTCTTGTTATGTCTCTGTTAATTCCCAGAGAAGATCACCCATATAAAAATGGTGAGCACATAGTAAAGTACCTGGACAGACAGACTGAGCTGGAGAATCGGAGTTGTTGTGGATGATCTAAACAAACCAGCACTTGGTAGTCCTGGGCCTTCACTATCAATAAAAGATAGCCATACTTTACTACTCGATAGCATAAAGCTGATTTGAGCCATATTCTGCTAATTGAACTAAAGTAAGGAGAAATTAAAAAACAAAGCTAGAATAGATATGGAACATGGGCCTAAACACCATCTCCATGGTATTCTTGACTCTTACTGGTCTGATGAACAAAGGACTAGGAGGACCTACTTTTCTGTGTTTTGCCACTTTAAAGACATCAGGTAACACATTCAAAGAGACAAGCTGATGTGCTAAGGAAGTTCAATATACATGAGAGGGTTGCTGATGACATATGGCTGCTTTTAGACACAACAAAAAAGAAAGATGACCAGATGTGTGGTTTGCAGGATGAAAGCTTGAGAAGCTCATTTACAGGAAAAAAAGAGATGTCCTAAGGAAGAGAAGAAAGATGATTAATAAAGTAATAACACGCAGTATTGTGATAAAAAAATTCTCATCATCACAG